ACAAGTGCTTCTGAGACAGGCAAATCTGTTTCAATACAATTTCTTATTGTAAATATTTTCTATGAACGCAGAGGCGTACCAGGGAACTTGTGTCCCCACAATACAAACACATATAAAAAAATTAATTCAAATCCTACAAATAACTATCAAAATAAAAATAATAATTTAATCAAAAAATGGCAAAAAAGTAATTTTATAGATGAACAAGAAACTAAGAAATTGTTGATCCATAATGCACAACCCCCTAAAATTTATGGTCTTCCAAAATTACATAAAGCAAACATTCCGTTACGTCCAATTGTGTCCAGTATTCAATCTCCTTTATATAATTTATCAAAATTTTTAGCAAATATCATTTCAAAAATAACTTGTCAGAATGATTATTATATAAAAGATTCTTTCTGTTTTAAAAATTTTATAGATACAGTTTATATACCGGATAATTATAAATTAATCTCATTAGACGTCACGTCGTTATACACGAATATTCCCATAGATTTAGTAATCAAAATAATAACTAAAAAATGGAATGTCCTACAAAATTATACTATTCTCCCGTTAAATGAATTTCTAACTAGTATTAAACTTACCTTAACTACCAATTTTTTTCAATATCAAAATGATTTTTATCAACAAATAGATGGTTGTGCAATGGGAGCACCAATTTCATCAACAATAGCACAATTAACCATGGAATTTTTGGAGGAGGAAGTAATTAAAAATTTAAATTTTAATATATCATTTTTCAAAAGATATGTTGATGATTGCATTATCGCAGTTCCTGAAGACAAAATAAATGATATTTTAAACACTTTTAATAGTTTTCATCCCAAATTACAATTTACCATTGAAATTGAAAATAATAATAAACTTTCTTGATCTAACTTTAATCCGTAAAAATAATAAAATTTTAACTAAATGGTATACTAAACCTACTTCATCTGGCAGATATCTAAATTTTGATTCCCACCATCCTATAACATATAAAAAAAGTGTTGTAATTGGTTTAACCAACAGAGCGTTATATTTAACTAGTCCTATTTACCGGCCTAAAATCATTAATAAAATAAAAAATATATTAAGAAATAACAATTATCCGTCTAATTTCACTAACAAAATTATTAAACAAAGAATATTTACATTTTATAATAAATCAAGAAAGAAAAATATTGTAAGTTCTGATCAAAATTCTACGGACATTCAGTATGTTGCACTACCATATATACAATGTTTATCTGAAAAAATTAAATTTATCTTATCCAAGTATAAAATTTCTGTTGCTCATAAATCTTTCAACCAATTAAATAAATTATTTACACCTTTAAAAAGTAAAACTCCTATTTTAAAAAACTCTCACGTTGTATATTCTATTCCATGTAATGATTGCAATAGTCAATATATAGGTATGACTTCACAAAATTTAGAAAACAGATTAAAAGGCCACAAATATACAAAAAACTGTTCTACTGCTCTTAATAAACATATGAAGGAAAAAAAACATTCTTTTAATTTTAATCAAACTAAAATTTTAGTCAAAGAACCTNCCCGCAGCAAATGAAATAAATAAGGTGTTAGTGAGCTTCACACCGATTTTATGGTTTATCACCGATAGAGAATTATTTTAAATAAAAGTTTATATTATCTACTATCAATTTATTTTTCCAAATTTTATTTTACAATTATGAAATAAAACTAATTACACTAAAATACATTTCATTAATTCATATCCTCTACATTTTCGTCATCACCCTCTGCTCTATCTCTTTGCTCACGGACCATATTCACCCACTCTTCTAAGCGACCTGTGATTGTACAGAATAATGTATTTATTATTTTCGAATTTATTCTTTTTATTTCCTTACCAAGCGCAACGTCCAGCATCAAGTCATCCGATACTGCAGATTCTGACCCTTCTGGTGACGGTACACGACCTATGATAAAAACACATACAAAAAAATATTTTTTACTCATTTAATTCTCTTACCTTCCATCAAGTTAACATTCAAATTATCTGGCGTTGTGGATCCCGATCTTTCCGGAGATGTAGTGGAATCAGGCTGCTGCTGCTGATTGTCATCTTCCATATCCTCGCCGTACATCGTTACCGTACTATCGCTCCACGATGATGACCATTGTCTAGTCGGGGAGTGAAGTGGATACGTAGTAGAGTCTGCTTCAGCTATCTCCACTACTAGGTCTCCTCTCTTCTCCATGTTCTTGCTACTTATGGTTGGTTCTTAAATTTGAAATCCTTTATATACGTTCCAAATAGGAAACTTATCTCTTCAACCCAAGGTCAAGTATCTTATATTATGAAACTTGTTCTTTAAAAGGTAATGTGTCGATTACAATAAAATTCATTGTAAAGTCCGTAGCACTGTGATTATTACTTTGATTGTTTAAATACGATTTAATTTGTTGTGACACATTTGTTTGTAATGAAATGAAATCATAACTTCTATTCTTCTATTTATTTAATATTTTAAAAATATATATATATTTACATTAAATTCCAAACGAGTATTTACATTATTTAAAAATATCTTAACTAACTAATACTAATCGCTGACACTGTCTTTTTGCGGTCGAGTATTATTGCAGATGACGCATGTCCTGGTTAACCGCACTTGTTCCAGAGGCAACCGACACGAGGAACAATAAAAGGAACATTCTTCATATGTCCCTGTGGTGTGCGAATCATAATGCCTGTGCTCATATTCCTCAACATCAGAAAGGCGAACCAACTCCATATAACACCTATGACACAGTTCGTAGTCGCCTTTCGGGTCTGTGCTGACGAGCACCATACTATACGTGTAGCAATAAAGTTGTCCTTTATCCGCTACATCACCATTTACTACTTCATGGGATCTCATCAGGATAGCACCGTGTTCGTCGGAGCAGTCTTCGACAACGCCCTCATCAACATAGTCGGGTACCTTCGAAAGAAAAAACATGATAAAAATTAATGTGAGTTTACATACTTTCAAATGTTATTACCTCTTCCACGTCATCTGCCGGTTCAGCATCCGCTTCTCCATTGCCGCATTCATCCGCCTGACCTTCATCATATTCCTCTTCTTCTTCTTCTTCATTCACCCCATCAATATCATATTCCTCTCCTTCCGCATCACTTTCAACAAGCTCGTCGACCTCGCTTTCATTATCCGAAACATCATCCTCACGTTGGATTCCCCAGGCTTCCTGTGTAACACATTTCGTAATACTAGTTTATAAAAACCGCATTTAATATTTACCTCCTGCTCCATAGCAGCTAGTTTTCTCAACAGATCCCAATTGACAAATCCAAGTCGAGCCATTATTGAAATTTGTGAACACACGACTGTCTTCTGAAAGCTGTAAACTACAACTAGTTTTCAATATGACTCCTCCTGGCTTATATAGCGTTTTTGGTGTGACGTCACAGTTTATGTTATGATATTTCTCATATCGAACGGAATTATATTTTTTGAAAAGTCAAATAAAGGTCACTCCTATATACCTATATAAAGACTTTTGGAAGCATGAGGAGTTCATTTCTTTTTAAACATCTCAACTAGTACACAAGTATTAAAATGCCATTTCCGAAAGAATGGGACACAAAAGTGAAAGTAAAAGCGCTTCCCTTTAGTGCGCGGGATTTAATTACGTGCCATAATTGTTATTACATGACGAACAAACCATTTATTAATGATTGTACGGGGCTTTGTGTGACCTGTGATAAAGTAAACCGCAAAGCAATAGTAAAAGCAAAAACCGGCAGATGTAAGAAATGTATAAATTTAAAAGCTACAAATTTTGGAATTGTTAGAGACCGTTGTGAACGTTGTAGAATAGAGGACCATCCCCTGAGACAACGCTGCGCTGTTTGTAGGACATATACAGATAACTGCTGGAAAAGTGCCTCTGCTACTGACAGAGAGAATAAATTTTTATGTGAGCACACTGGGTATCTCTATGGCAACGCCAACGTACATTTCAAGAAATGCTGGTGTTTGACAAATCATCAACAACTACTTAGATGTGGACTTATTGATGGATAAGATAATTATTTTTGCATATTGTATAATATTATGTAATGGAAAATAAAATGCTTCAAATATACTTATATCTTTTATTATTATTATTATTACTTCTCAATTGATACAGATTGTTACAATAATTTGTTCATTACATTTTTTTTACCATTATGTTACAAAACAAAAACAATATTTGCTACCACCATTTCTCAACAAAGACAATTAATATATTCTAAAGTCAGATAAAAGTCACTGTTTAAACTATATCTGCCTTGTTGATCCATGAATTTTGAGTGTTGGGAAGACCCAGCCACTTACAAAACAATCTGTTGCCCTTTCTTTTCAAAACCTTCTCTAGTAAATATACTTCGGGATATTTGGTTTTTTGCAACTCATATTTGTAGAAACATCCTTTAATCTGTCTTCCCTGCATATCTTCTAACACATACGTTGTAGGATTTGTTATATTTACTTTAACCACTTTGAAGAGTTCTGTTGAATAATTAGCTGTATATTCCTTCTGGAACACTCCTTTGTACTTGCTAATTCGGACAATGTCTGCTACATTGAATTTTGGTTTCTGTACAATCTTGGGGTGATTGTAAGCTTTTAATTCCGTTGATCGTTTTACGTCAACAGGTTTCATTCCTATTGTACGATGAACTCTATTATTATACGATTTTATAATTTCAGGCAGAATGTTAATCCACCTATAATTACCTCTTGCAGAAAATTCTTTGTATATCCAATTTTTCAGGGTTCTAATTACACGTTCTACCATTGCTGCTTTTTTTGTGCTGAATGTGGAATAATGATTTATACCATACTGATGCATCAGTGTAGAGAATTGACGGTTGTAAAATTCAAGCCCTTGATCGCTCTGTAAGTTTGTTGGGGAATAAGTAGCTTCTCTAAGAATATTTTTCATCGCTGTAGAAACCTCCATAGCTGTTTTTTTCTTTAACGGTTTGGCCCAAACATATTTAGAATAACAATCAATTACTATGAGTATATATCGATGACCTTTATTTTTGTTCGCAAAATCTTGCATTTCAGCCAAGTCGATTTGCCATAAGTCTGCAAACCCTTTTATTATGGTTCTTCTTCTTCTAAAATTCTTTCGGGCGGGTTTGTGTAACTCATTGACAATTTGTCGTTTTGTATCACTAATAAGCATTTTT